TCTATCTTGCCATTTGTCTTTAATGGTCCATTTCAGGTCCATTTTCTCTAGAATCTTGACCAGATTATCCGCCCATGAGTTTGTTCTAAATTGATTGTTTTTCTGAAAGGATCTCTGTATGCTGTTTTTTATTGACAATCTGCCGGTTGTTCCAATAACTTTTGCTGTTATGGTGGCTATCCTTTGTTTCACCCTGTTTTCTAAGGCTGGTAAGTTGGTTTCCATTCTAAGGTTCTCTCGACGCGTCAATATAGGTGCTCCCAGCATTGTTCTCAGAGCATCATTTTGAGACACTTCCAATTTCTCCCATTGGTTATCACAGAGGGCTGTAAGAGCAGGAGCAGCATAGTCAATGAGTGACCTAACTGTTTGAACGTAGTACATTTTGAGTACTGGTAGAGATGCACCATCTCTAAGACTGGTCAGCGAGCGCAAAACTGAGTTTCTGGCTTTACAACGTTGCCGAAGATATTCAATTTCTTGAGTGAATTTCAACTGGTTGTCTATTATGACTCCGAGGTATTGAAAAGAGGTAACCCACTCAATTTCTTGTCCTTGTACTGCCAGTCTGATGTCTTGAGTTCTCATTTTAACGACCATAGCTCTTGTTTTATTGATGTTTATTTTCACTGTTATGCGTTCCGCTTCCTTGCTGATAATATCTAGGCATTTTTGTGCATGGTTCCTTGCACCTTTGCCATTGATGATGACCACAAAGTCGTCTGCATAGTTAAGCAGTTTGGCTTTTGGTAGCTTGAGCTTCATGAATTGTTCCATGAGACAGTTGAAGAGGAAGGGGCTTAGTATTCCTCCCTGCGAAGTTCCATTTTCCAGCCTCTTTTAAGTCGATGTTTTCCTTGGAATTTGACTTTAGCTTCTCGGTTAAGCAGGCTTCCTTTGGCAAAGGCAAGAGCGTGTCCTTTGATTTCCTTATTCACAAGGCAGCACAGTGTAGCTGGAGCACTGGCTAACTCGAAGGCTTTTTCTAGGTATAGAAAAATAAGGATTCCAGGTTTGTCATTGATTTGATCCAGGAGGGAGGTAAGGCATTCTGTGGTTCCAACACCTTTTCGGTAAGCAAACTTATTTTGGTGTAGTGGATTGGCTTTCCATTCAATTCGATTAAGAGCCATTCTTTCTGCAGTTTTGGCCAGACAGCTTGTTAATGAGATGGGTCTTGGATTTCCTGGGTCTTTAGGTTTTGGAATGGGAACTATAATTGCTCTGTTCCAAGAGAGGGGGGTCGAGTTCTTGTCACCCATACTCTGTTAATGAGACTCGAGAAGGCTTCTTCGCCCTTTTCTCCTAGCTTGGCCAGCATGTTGTAAGTGATTTTGTCCTCTCCTGGTGCTGTATTTTTAGTTTTCTTTGTAGCACTTCTGAGTTCTTCAGATTGAAAGGTTGGTCTAGTTCGTCAGGAGAGCCGGAAGAAGGAAAAGAAGACACAGGAGACATGGCGGACAGGGAAGGAAGGGGGAACTCCAGAAGGAGAATCAGGAGAGAGACCTTCCGGGGCAGAACGTAAAGGAACATAGGAGGAGGTGGTGGGCATGTCCGAGTCCAAGGCCTGGAAACGGTTGCGGGACTAAGGAAGGTGGGAAGGACGAGGAGAGGTAGAACCCAACACGCGAGCATAAGATACGCCAGTGAAAGGGTGGAGACGGCGGACTTGGCGTCTCGCTTCAGGAAAAGTCAGACGATACCGGTGTTTCAAGTTGAGAACTGCTTCCTCAAGCTTGTAGTGGATATACGAGCGGGAGAAGGTAGGGTGGGCCTCACCGCAATTGAGACAGTGAGCCTGAGATGAGCAATCTGTCTTAGAGTGGTTATCGTCCCCACACATGGGGCATAGAGAAACAAGACTTGTGCATTTTAGGACACCGTTCCCGAGCTTCCAGCACTTATGACAAAGTCTAGGAGAGGGTATGTATTCCTGAACGGAGGACCTGGCACCAGCAAGAATGACAGAGGGCGGAAGGGACCTACTATCGAAGGTGATTTCCACAACTCGAAGGGGCTGGCGGCGGCGACCACGAGGAGGTCGAGTGAACGTGTCCACCTGGAGGACAGGATGGCCTTGGGCTTCGAGGATATGCTTAATATCCTCATGGGAGTCTTTTAGGTCACTAACACCAGTTGCAACATGGTGTGGGAGAAGAACAGTGCCAATACTGGCATTTAACCGAGCGTTTTTGGAGACCCGAACAGGGGTCTCCCCAATGCAGGACAATGCGGCTAAGCGGGCAGCTGCATCCGGTGAAGGAGCAGCAATGATACGTGTACCTAAACGGGTGGAGTTAAAAGCAACAGAGGCATCCACCGAATCAACAAGGTGTTTATGGAGTAAGAAATCGTCAGGAAGTGTAGAATCCAGAGGGAGGAGATCAAAGTATTTAGCCCACGAAGCAGGACCAAACAAGGCTTGATACATATTAGTATGGGTAGGGA